GACTTTTAAAGATTTTTTTTGCAGATCAAGGGAGATTAGTAGTGGTCTTGTATGTCTTCCATTTTCTGATTATCGTTCCCACAGTAGATTTCTTCACACCAAGCTGCTTGCCTATTGCAGATTCAGTCTTCCCAGCCTGGTGCAGGTCTACAATTCGGTTTCTGGTGTCCTCCGACAGCTCTTTRYTCTTCACCATAGTGGAGTTTGGAGTGTGACTGTTTGAVGTTGTGGGCAGGTGTCTTTTATACTTTTAACGACTTCAAACAGGTGCCATTAATACAGTTAATGAGTGTGGGAAAGAGGAGCCTCTTAAAAAAGAAGTTACAGGTCTGTGACAGCCAGAAATCTTGCTTGTTTGTAGGTGACCCAAATACTTATTTTCCACCATTATTTGCAAAAAAATTCTTTAAAAGTCAGACAAAATGATTTTCCCAAATTTTTTTTCACATTTTGTCTCTCATAGTTGAGGTCTACCTATGATGTCAATTACAGGCCTCTCTCATCTTTTTAAGTGGGAGAATTTGCACAATAGGTGACTGACTAAATACTTATTTTCCCCACTGTAGGTCCTCAGTGCGAGGCTGCTAGTGAGCTATATCCACCCTGAAGTTGAATATTGGACAATATCTGACGATCGGCTCTTAAATGAAACCAGAGAGTGTTGACAGAGAGGAGAAGTTAGAAGTGACAGCCTGTAACTGAAAATATGGATGGAGGACAACAGAGCTGCTTCATGGAAGAAGAACCTCGGCTTAACCTGTTAGCTTTAGAATTAGCCCCAACGCTATCACCATATATATGTATTAGCTCAGCGCTACACATTCTCCTCTTATCACTGAGGTCCTCCATCCACATGACAGAGGGGAATGCAAAAATGACTCGGCCTGCAACTGAAAATATGGATGGAGGTAGTGCTGGGCGATATGGCCTAAAATCAATATTGCGATATATTGACAAGTTCACCTCTAATGATAAATGCACAATAACTCTTATCACCCCCCCCCCCCAACCACACAGAAGTACACAGTACAGTATAGTATAGTCATAACACTATACACAGTGTCCATGTTCTGAGTCAAAGTACACAGTTTAGATTTTGAACAGCTTTTCTGTAGTTTGTATTTGTCATTTTAGTGTTTTTAATATTTAATAAAAACTTTTTTGGCAAGACTTGAGTCAGATATAGTCATACAAATATTTAACCATCTCCATTTTATAACTATTCAGTGCAAACAAACACATTATGTATGAT